CGGTCCGAAGAGCGTCCAAAATGGCAGACACAGGCCCCAACACTGCCCCTAAGATGACCCCAGTGGGCCCCAAAACGGCGAGCAAGCGCCCCATGGTGCCAAGGGGGCCCCCGAGATCGCCAGCGGGCTCCGCAGAACAGTTCCGCCTCGGATTCCTGATCCCGCTCGTCCCCCTTGCCCGCATCAATCCTTGCTCCTCCTTGCGTCATCATCACCTTCCTCATCACCATCGCCCCCTCGTCCGCCAAAATCCTCCTCCTCTTCCTCCTCCTCCTCCTCCTCCTCATCCTCCCTCTTATTGCCCTCAAACCCTGTTCCTCTCCCTAATCCTCACCCTCCTCAACGTCAGCAGCATCGTCATCCTCACACTTTTTCCGCTCATCCTCCTCCTCCTCGTCCTGCTCCTCCTCATCCTCCCCCTCGTCTTCCCAGGGTGCGGTGCCCGAGAGACGACGACGACAGCGACGACGACGACGGCGGCGGCGGCTTCGGCGGCGGCGGCCGCGGCGGCGGCGAGAGCCCCCCGTGGCTCCCATTGCTCCCCGCGACGAGCGGGCGGCGCCCCCGCCAGCGCCGAGCCGGCGGCGACGACGCGACGACCACGATGGCGATGACGATGACCACGACGACAACTACGACGACCAATTGCGACGACGACGACGACGACGGCGACGACTAACGACGACGACGAACGACGACGAGAATCTTTAAGAATCTCTCAGAATCTTGAAGAATCTCTGAAAATCTCTGAGCATCTCTGAGAATCTCTGAGAATCTTTCAGGATCTCTCAGAATCTCCCAGAATCTCTCAGAATCTCTCAGAATCCCTCAGGATCTCTGATAATCTCTGAGAATGAGTGAGAATCTCTGAGAATCTCTCAGAATCTCTTAGAATCTCTGAGAATCTTTCAGAATCTCTGAGAATCTCTCAGAATCTCTGAGAATCTCTGAGAATCTCTCAGACTCTCTGAGAATCTCTGAGAATATCTAAGGATCTTTGAGAATCCTTGAGAATCTCTGAGACTCTCTGAGGCTCTCTGAGAATCTCTCAGAATCTCTGAAAATCTTTCAGAATCTCTCAGAATCTCTCAGAATCTTTGAGAATCTCGGAGAATCTCCCAGAATCTCTGCGAATCTCTGAGAATCACGGAGAATCTCTCAGAATCTCTGAGAATCGGGGAAAATCTCTGGGCATCTCTAAGGACCTCTGAGAATCTCTCAGAATCTCTGAGAATCTTTGAGAATCTCTGAGATTCTCTCAGAATCTCTTAGAATCTCTGAGAATTTCTGAGAATCTTTGAGAATCTCACAGAATCTCTGAGAATCTCGGAGAATCTCTCAGAATCTCTGAGAATATTTGAGAATCTCTGGGAATCTCTAAGAATCTCTGACAATCTCCCAGAATCTCTGAGAATCTCTGAGAATCTCTGAGGATCTCTGAAAATCTCTCAGACTCTCTCAGAATCTCTGTGAATCTCTGAGACTCTCTGAGAACCCTTGAGGATCTATCAGAATCTCTGAGGATCTCTGAGAATCTCAAAGAATCTCTCAGGATCTCTGAGAATCTCTGAGACTCTCTGAGAATCTCTGAGAATCTCACATGATCTCTAAGAATCTCAGAGAATCTTTGAGAATCTCACAACATCTTTGAGAATCTTTGAGAATCTCTGAGAATCTTTCAGAATCTCTCAGAATCTCTGAGAATCTCTGAGAATCTCTGAGAATCCTTCAGAATCTCTCAGAATCGTTCAGAATCTCTAAGCATCTTTAAGAATCCCTCAGAAAATCTCTGAGAATCTCTGAGAATCTCTCAGAATCTTTGAGAATCTCATGAGAATCTCTCAGACTCTCTGAGAATCTCTGGGAATCTCACAGACTCTCTGAGAATCTCTAAGAATCTTTGAGAATCTTTGAGAATCTATGAGAATCTCTGAGACTCTCTGAGAATCTCTCAGAATCTCTGAGAATCTCTGAAAATCTTTCAGGATCTCTGAGAATCTCTGAGAATCTCTGAGAATCTTTGAGAATCTCTGAGAATCTCTGAGAATCTCTGAGAATCTCTCAGAGTCTCTCAGAGTCTCTCAGAATCTCTGAGAATCTCTGAAAATCTCTGAGAATCTCTGAGAATCTCTGAGAATCTCTCAGAATCTCGCAGACTCTCTCAGAGGCTCGCAGTGATTCTCAGAGAGTCGCATAGGTTGGAGCTTTTCAGAGGCTCCAAAGTGGTTGGGATCTCACGCGTCCCAGGGGTCATTGACGGTTGGGATCTGAACCGTCCGGTTGGGATCTTACGCGTCTGGTTGGGATCTGAACCTTTCTCCTCTGGGCCGACTTGAGGCCCTCTTGGAATGCTCCGGGGCCGTCTTGGAGGCCATCTTGGGCGTCTTAAAGGCCTCCTGTGCTGTCTTGGGGGCCTCTTGGGGCCGTCTTGGGGCCCTCTTGGGCCGTTCTGGGGCCATCTTGGAGGCCTCTTGTGCGATCTTTCGGCGATCTTTGGGGGCTCTTGGGCCGTCTCGGGCCGTCGGAAGGCCGAAAAGAAGGAACTGTCAAATTCCGTCAAAACCGTAGGACAATCAAGGTTTTTGGCCTCTTCTGGCCTTGGCCCTCTTGGGGGCCTCTTGGGCCGTCTTGGGCCAGCTTCGAGCCAATTTCGGCCATCTTGGTGGGTTCCTGGCACGTCTGACGCCGTCGGGAGCCGTCTTGTGGTCCTTTCTGGGCCGACTGGGGGCCCTCCTGGGGCGCTTCGGGGCCGTCTTGGGGCCATCTTGGAGGCCTCTTCGGCGATCTTTCGGCGATCTTTGGAGGCTCTTGGGCCGTCTCGGGCCGTCGGAAGGCCGACCAGAAACAAATGTCAAAATCAATTTTTCTTTCTTTATTTTTTAATGTATTTTTTTTGTGTATGCATGTATGTCTGTCTGTCTGTCTGTCTGTCTGTCTGTCTGTCTGTCTGTCTGTATGTATGTATGTATGTATGTATGTATGTACGTACGTGGTGCGTATGTACGTGTGTACGTATGTACGTATGTACGTATGTACGTATGTACGTATGTACGTATGTACGTATGTACATATGTAGGTATGTAGGTATGTATGTGTGTACGTATGTACGTATGTACGTATGTACGTATGTACGTATGTACGTATGTACGTATGTACGTATGTACGTATGTACGTATGTACGTGTGTACGTGTGTACGTGTGTACGTATGTACCTACGTACGTATGTATGTATATATATATATATATATATATATATATATATATATGTGTGTGGATATTAATCGATACAAAAAAAAAAACAGCAGCAAATATACAACAAAACAAACAACATACGTGTTTTTGGCTTTTTCTGGCCTTCCTGGAGGCCTCTTGCAGGCCTCTTGGGCCGTCTTGCGCCAGCTTCGAGCCAAGTTCGGCCATCTTGGTGGGTTCCTGGCACGTCTGACGCCGTCGGGAGCCGTCTTGGGGGCCTCTCTGGGCCGACTAGGGGCCCTCTTGGGGCGCTTCGGGGCCATCTTGGAGGCCATCTTGGGCGTCTCGGAGGCCATGTTGGGCGTGTTGGAGGCCTCTTGGGCCGTCTTGGGGCCCTCTTGGGGCCGTCTTGGAGGCCACTTGGGCCGTCATGGGGCCCTCTTGGGGGCCTCTTGGGCGATCTTGGGGGCCTCTTGGGCCGTCTTGAGCCGTCGGAAAGCCGAAAAGGCGCAAATGCCAAAATGCTTCAAAAACCAATGGAAAATCAATGAATTTGGCCCTTTCGGGCCTTCCTGGAGGACCTCTTGGAGGGCTCTTGGGCCGTCTTGGAGGCCTCTTGCGGGCCTGTTGGGCCGTCGTAGACCATCTTGAGGCCATCTTAGGCCGTCTTGGGTACATCTTGGGCCGTCTTGGAGGCATCTTGGGACCCTCTGAGTCGTCTTGGAGGCCATCGTGGCCGTCCTGGAGGCGTCTTGGCCGTCTTGGAGGCCATCTTGGGGCCGTCTGGGGCAGGAAAACCGTTTGCAACCACCTCTTCCTGGTGGCTGGCGGGACGCGCCGGAGCCCCAGGGGGAGTTCTTTTGGAAAAAGAACCAAAGCCCAAAGCCATATAATCCGGAACGCCGGGCACCCCTTTGATAAATCAAAAGGAGGCGGCGGATCTAGTGGCCTTCGACCCATCCCGCCACCGTGCTTGGGATGTGGGTCAGAGTTCTCAGGAATGCTTCTTGGGGTCTTCGGAGCGCTCTTGGGGGTCCCCTGGGGGCAGTTTAGGTGCCTCTTGGCAGCCTCTTGGGGGCTTCTGCGGGGCCTCTTGGGGGCCTCTCGAGGGCGCCTCTTGGGCCGTCGTGGGGCCCTCTTGGGCTGTCTTGGGGCCTTCTTGGAGGCCTCTTGGGCCGCCTTGAGACGATCTTGGGGGCCTCCAGGCCGACTGGGAGCGTCGGGAAGCCGACAAGGCGAGAACTGAAAACACTTCGAGAAACCCAAGGGACATGATTTTGGCCTCTTGGGGCCCTCTTGGGAGGCCTCTTGGAGGCCTCTTGGACCGTTTTGGGAATATTTTGGGGCCCTCTTGGTCCGTCTTGGGGCCCTCGTGGCTCCGAAAAAGTCGCCCATGAGATTGTTGATGAGTTCACAGTTTCCCCCCCAGCCCCCCCCCAAAGCGATTTGGAGCCCTCTCTTGACATCTTAATGCATTGTCCTCTTCCCACTGCTTACCTTGCTTGCGGCCCCCACCTATTCACACATTTCGTGTTCTTGTATCGCGGTCCTGCGCCTTTTCCATGTGCAGAGACGGTTATCAGCACTAGGTTTCGCGTTTATTGCCAGCTCTCTGTGAAGGAGCTGCGTCTTCTGCTGATCCTTTGAATCTCCATCACTCCCAGCTCATCTTGGCCGTCTTCGACTTGGGTCCCCTCTTGTCTCTTATGTATATCCCCGCCGCCACCATCAAGCCACTTTCATGTTTAGCACGTCGCCTCCGTTGTTCAGTGCCATCATATTGAGAGTTGCTTCTTCAATCGACGCAGGTCGGCTCTGGTGCATATGGCTGCGTCGCATCGTTCAAGGATGCGCGGACCGGGGAGAAGTTCGCGGTGAACCTTTCACTTTCTTATGCCATCAATCGCCTTTCCTGTGCTTGATCTCTGAGGATTGCACGTTCTCTCCCACGAGCATTAACAGCCAAAATGGGCAGGCACTAGCAGCAGCAGCGGTAACAGCGGCGACAGTAACAGCCGCGTCGCAGTAGTCGCATCACGAGTGTGCTTGTACGCACATGCCTGCTATCACTGTTTGTGCTAAGCATCACTGTGAGCATGGCTGATGCAGCATGTATGCTAGAGGGGGCCATGAAGCCCAAACAGGCCATCGCGTTACAGTGTACACATGCTGACGGCACATTCACATTCGACTACGCGCGCGAGTTTGTTGTTCACCTAGATGTTTTTTGTTTGCAGTTTACTGTCGAACAACTATGCAAAGATGAATGCACATGCCTGTGATGCGAATTCTTCATGACTACGGTTATGCGGTACAAAGATGCCCGTGCGCACTACGAAGGGCGTGCCACCTGCATTCACTGAATGAGCATCTCAAATCGGTGATGCACGGATGTTTCGAAGGGTTAAAGCAAGGGGAATCTTCGAATCGCCTAGGACGGGTTGGGAGATGGAGGGGGAGGAGCATGAGGAACATGATAAAGGTCATGGTCGTTTTACAAAATGCCGCTCGCGCGGCAGATTTCAATGTTCCCGACGTAGCCAATCTAATGTCTGCGCCTCCTCAGCCCTCGCCCCCCAGACTTCCGCGGCCCCAGGGGTCTCGACCCCTTCTCCGAGAACACTTCTTCGCTCCGTCTGCCTCTCTGATGGCCCCGGGTGCCGAGACCGAGGGAGAGCGCTGGGATGGGACAGAGCACCCCGTGGGAGATCTGGGACTGCTCCTCCCCGTCCCCCTCGTGCTCCCGCCTCCCCCCTGCCCACTCCGAACCCCGGGGCCCCCTCGCCCCTCCCCCACCACACCCTTCGGCAGCGCGCCGAGGGGGGAAGCGAGGGGCAGGCCTTCTCAGCGGGTGGCGGGGCCTGTCAGAAGCCCTCGCGCCTTCTGAGAGGCCGTCCCTGTCTTCCGAGAAGGCTTGGACAGCTTCTCAGAATCAGTCGTATTTAACCAAACCCCATCCCCACGGGGCCATGGTATCTCAGCTCCACCATCCCACCACCCCAGTTGGGGATAGGCCCCTCGAACCCCGAACGGAACAGCCTACATCCCCATCCATGGGGGATAACACTGCCAGTGGGGCCCAGGCCACGCCAGTGGGGACAGGGATCGGCTAAACGATGCTCTCAGAAGGCGTAAAACCCTTTGTGCCCTGTAGGAGGAGACGAGGAGGAGCAGGATGCGCAAGCGTCACGGAGGAGGGGGAGGAGGAGGAGGAGGGGGAGGAGGAGGAGGAGGAGGAGGAGGAGGAGGAGGAGCAGGAGGAAGGAGACACGGTTACAAAGGAGACGAGTGAGGTGTAGCGACAGCAACGGTGGAAGTGGATGTCAGGCGGAGTAGGAGGCGGAGGAGGGGGAGGATGAGCGCTCGGCCCTCTTGCCTGCCCCAGACCGTTCTGGCCGCCTGACTCCGCGCCGTGTCCTGCCCCGCTGCTGTAGAGTGTTGTTGGGATTTTTGGAGTGCTTATGCGCCAAGATGGGGAGGAAGAAGATGATGACGAGGAAGGGGAGGTCTGTAGCAGGAGGAGGAAGGTTTTGAGTATAAGGAGTAGTAGTAGTAGTAGTAGTCGTAGTAGTAGTAGTAGTAGTAGTAGTAGTAGTAGTAGTAGTAGTAGTAGTAGTAGTAGTAGTAGTATTATTAGTAGTAGTATGAGGAGTAGTAGTAGTAGGAGTAGTAGTAGTAGTAGTAGTAGTAGTAGTAGTAGTAGTAGTAGTAGTAGTAGTAGTAGTAGTAGTAGTCGTAGTAGTAGTAGTAGTAGTAGTAGTAGTAGTAGTAGTAGCAGTAGTAGTAGTAGTAGTAGTAGTAGTAGTAGTAGTAGTAATAGTAGTAGTGTCGTAGTAGTAGTAGCAGCAGCAGCAGTAGTAGTAGT